TAGTTTATTTTAATTTTGGACAACAACATGTTAAGTAAAATTTATCTTAGGAATGATAATAAGGAACTCTCATAATAAAAATAAATAATGACTAAAACTTTTTTTTTTTTGTAACTTATATATAATAATAATACAAAACTATATATTTAATATAGAATATATTGTATATATTAATATGGCTATTGTATTTTATAATAAATCTTTTAGTAATTAAACTTTAAAATTGTCAAAATATTTTTTTTCCTAACGGGTCGAAACAGGTTACCTACGTGTTACCCACGTGTATACCCGTTAAGAACCTGTTATTAACGGGTTCTTAACGGGTCATCCCATAATGACCCCTTAACGGGTCATCCCATAATGACCCAATTAGTTATCATCGAAATCCGTTATTTTCATGTCGTTTTCGTGTTGTATCACCGTGTCTTATAAAAAACTACCAGGTCTACTCAAGGCTCCTCTTCACGTCCCCTAAGGTCAAATATGTTGGGGAGAGATTTTTTTTTATGTATTTATAAACATGGACAGGCTGTTAAATGGAATTTCAACATCTAAAGCAGAAGTCCATTCTCCATTATATTGGATTATTGAATAGTCTTATACAAATTTCCGTGGAAAATATTTGGACATATATATTGAATATAGTCATATAAGTTTGGTGTGGATATTGTTAACACACACACATATATACCGGCTCTATAAGGGAAGTGATCTCTATTTTTTTCAAAAAATTAGAAATTAGTTGTGGGACCTACTCCACATGGATCTTCAACTATCCGAACCATCTATTTTTACAAGTCTACATATTTCTAGCTTATGCATAAGAGCAATTATCCACAGATTTATAAAACTCTGTTTGTTAAAAAAAAATTCATAAAATTACTACTATACTCTTTTATACATAATTAAAAGAAACTATTAGAAAAGAAAAAATATGGGCTTTAGAGATTGTCAGAGGAAAGTTGGGGCATTGCGAGTGTAACGATATGACAAGGATTATCAAAATATGAGTCGACTTCCATAACATTTGGTGCTTCATCCTTAGTTGGTTTTGTATTTTGAAATAAAGATTTTCAAATAAATATTCCCTATATCAAGGAAGTAAGCTTTGGCAAACTCAAAGATATTATCATGATACATAATTATATATTTAAAATTATTATCATCATTTAAAGAAAGAAAGGCCAAAATGTCAAATACCAATCTTGGTTTTGTTGGGGTGTAAGTGATGCCACTAAACCTATTAGTTTCCCAAAATGAATCAAATAATATAAGATGATGTAATCCACACATCCATTTTTACTTGTTTGTAGATGAATTGAAAAAAAATTAAATGACAAAAATTAACAAAGATGTGCAGGAGGTAAAAAGGGGTGTGTAAATAACACTACCCATAATATATATATATATATGTCTTCCAGCAAAAAATAAAAAAGCAAATATGTCACCTGTATCTGCAATAATTCTGTATATGCATGCCACACACACAAGTGGCATGAGTGGCATTATCTGCTGGCAGATTATCGAGTATAAACACAACTTGTGCATGAAAAAATGGAAATTTGGTGGCAGATCTGTTGATTTTGTTTTTTATGTGGCCTTGGCTGAATGAAAATATATGCATTTTGACAATTATGATATGAATCAAGAGTGTTTCTTGTCAACAAAGCTGCAGAAAATTCACCTACGACTTGAAAATTAGGGTTTATGCGGAATATATAAACATTGACTAGGGTTTATTTTTCTTGTCAAACATGGAATATTAGGGTTTTGCATGGCCGAGGCACGACATTGCGGTCAAAATTTGTTTCTCTTTACATGATGTAAAAAGAAAAAAAAGTGTCAAGCAGCTGGGGATGTCTCAACACTCGTGAATCGTGAGATTTTACCAAATGTGATAGTTAACTAATCTTGAATCCATGGACATAAACGACGACATGCATAATATTGATTAGTCACTGAGATATTCACATCATTATATATACTTGAAGATCTCTAATTGCACTTATTTATGAATTAAATTGCATATATATTATTGATATCAAATCCACTTCTTATTTTTTTAGAACCTTTGGTCATTTTAATGAGAGTTACATTTATACAATTGTTTAGTACCATATCTGAAATTAAGATACAATTAATTTCTTTATTATCCGATGATGTGGGAACGAAAAATGATAGCCCAACAACTTGTTAATTATTTTGAATGATGCTGAGCTTTCCATGCAATCATGCACAACTGCCAATTATATTCATTGACCTGGAGCTCGTAAGCTTGAAGGAAATAAATTAGCTTTATCTGTCGACCAATTTCTTTTGAAAAACATCTAAAATATCATCCTTGTAATCTGGCCTCGTTATACTTGTTATATGCAATCTTCTTCTGGTTGATATGTATTGGCTTCTCTAGTTGCATAATTATGCAATTTGCTATACATCGAATAGTCTAGTTTTAATTGTGCTGGTTTGCTTTGTTAAAGATTTTGTGCTGGCCGTCATCTGTTCTAGTTGTGATCTTGCTATTATATTGCTATTTGCTATTGAATAGTCTAATTTTTTTTTTCTTGATTGCCGATTTTTAATTCAGGTGGAGGGGTGCTAGTTGGTTAGGCCAGAAATCAATCAATTATGATGTGTGTTGGATATGGCTTTGAGCTACATGATGACGCTTCTCAATTCGTACATATATATTAGTACAATTGACTAATATTTTTCCCTAATGTATATGCCGCAAAGTTTCCACAACTAAAGTAGCCATGCAAGCTGTAAATATGTTGACACATTTTGAAGTTCGAAAACAAATGCTGATTCGCTGCTGTATGTCAAGAGCTCTTTTTTGAATGCAAATCCTGGTCTTCCAATACCAAAGTCTTGGACTTCAATTTGGTATCTGTTTTGCTTTTGGATTAAGTAGCTTAAAACCTAAACAAAGAACTACGTACTTTGACCTAAATTTATGAAGATATTTATTGAATATGTAGCCTTGAATTGAACTCCGCAAAGACAATGGCTTTACTTCTCTGGATGTAGCCTCCTTAGTATTGCTTTTTTTTTTCCCAGTTGACGATGGAATTCGTAGGTTCCATGCATTTCTTTCTACTTTTTCTTTGTTTTTTCAGTATGCATGCATGGTCCACCGCAGTATTAAGATGGAAGTTAGAATTTTAATGGCTTTATTACTTGCTTTTGCTCCTTCTTCCCTTTCCTTGTTCTTTCCTATATAAATTTTGTTAAGGTTATTAGTGCAAGAGCCGGCGACTTGGTCACTGGTTTTACATTACCAGGCAACTTGACTTATATATACGTACTGGACCCAAACACTTGCTTAATTAACTAGTTTTGTTGCAATATGACCAAAGCAATATCGTAGGTAAATGCTGTAAAAGTGTAAGTCCTTAATATCTTATTTGAAGTCATCACCCACTTACAACGAACGTATTTCAGCTTAACTAAACGAACAGAAAGCATTGATCTAGAACTCATAGTGCTGTAATACAGGACACAATAATCTGCATGCATAATAACATGTTGAATGTGAACTAGAAACATGCTAGGGTTTAAATTTAGGAGATCGAATTTTCTTACCACCCTTACTAGCTAGTTGTGAACGTTACCATCACCTAAAAGAGTGTGGCATGATACTTTAGGCTCCTGGTAATTATTGAACTCGTATGATATTTTTTTGAGAATGATTTGTAGTGCTTTTTTGGGGAACGTATGAGCTACTAAATTATATATGAATGTGGTTAAATCTAATTTGCATGCATATTTACTTCCATACATAAATGAATGTTATAGAGACATATTTAGGAGTCACACAGTGCTAGTTTCACTGATCAGGGATAGAATATCATCCGCATTCGTTACAGTAGAATTATATATGGCATAGCCACCATAACTTGAAATAGTTAATTATGTTCAGAATGAATTTCACATTGACGAGAGTATAGACTTTGCATCTGTTTATAAATAATAATTCGACAACTCCCATATTGCTAATTGGTTTTATTTTGAAACCTCAACTTTCTTTATGGTATCAGAGCAGGTTGTTTGGCGTGTGAAGCCAAACAACTACACACATTCTACGTCATCCCATTTGTGTTGTGCACGTGTTAGGCTTGAAAATTTGTCACATATTATGGATTGTGTTGAGAATAAATCCCACATTAATAGGAAAATGGACCTTGCATATGCTTATAAGCATCGTTTCTTCAATTTTAAGTTTTTCCACCATTTTGGATATCCATGCAATTTAAAGCAAGAATCGCATCCATACTTTAGAGCTCCACAGTAAGTGCAACCTCCCTCAGAAGGAGGAGACTATATTTGTCTCAACTCTGAGTTTGGCTTTGCCAGCTGCAGACGAAAGGACAACAACATAGGATGGACCTGCCGGCCAAAAAGAAGTTTGCCGAGTGGGTCTTTTGTGCTGGAATATGATTATGGAGTATGTCTCAATGCAAAGAGATGAAGCCATCTTCTTCGCTGCTGCTGGTTAGTTTTTCTTCTGATTTTTGTTGTCAGTTCATCGATTTAGTTATTTGTGGTTTATCGATCTTGTCCAGGCTTCTGTATTCTGATATTTTGGGCATTGACCGGCCGGCCGGCTAACATCTTTAGAAGCAGCGGTTGAAGCATGAGGAACAATCATCGTCAGATTCCTCCTATATGTGAACTCAAATTAGAAGTAGAAGAAAAAGTAGGTGACGACATGACATGAGTTTCATCCCCCATGGCCATGCAGGTGTAGGAGGTATTAGGGTTTGCTAGGTGACGACATGCATGTTGTTAACTTGCAATCAAAGCTCACGAAAGTAAATACAGATCAAGTTTTGAGAGAAAAGGAAGAACATTATGGTTTCTGATTCTGTAGATGAAACGACTAATAACACCGCAAACAAGCATAGTTTTAACCGACTTTGTTGAGTCGATAGAAGGGTGGTGCACGCTGAGAGAATCATAAAGTTCAGTTGATGTTTCAGACGTGCACGTAGCCACACTGACGAGCAAATCCCCGAATTTTTAAAATTAATTTAAAGTTAACGTTATTTGTAACACATCCAAATTTTTTGGGTCGCAATATTTACAAGTAGCAAACCTGTGTCGTTAAGCTGTAAAACAAGCAGCTTAATGACGAAAGAAACAGGAAAAAATGAGTCTCTGCGTCCAATGTCTAATACTACTGTCAATCAAGCTTCTTCGATTTTCAATAAAATGAGTTTCGGCTGCCTCTAGCTCCAATGCTGCAAAAGCTAAATAGTCAAAGCTACGAGATATCCAAGCCCCCAGAAGATTTTTGGATGCGAAGCAAAAATTATTGGTTCAGGCGCCGTTGAGTTGAGGTATGAACAGCCCAGTTCAAATAGATGATCAGGAGACATGACTGGTTTGTAACAACAGTGATCAAGATATAGCCATGCCAGTTCCAGTTAAGAAAATAAACTCCACTGACAAAAGGGAGCCTTATGTGTAATCTCGGGGCACATAAACCAGTCTCAGAAGATTGATTAGGAAGAACCTGGGAACTTCAAACTGGTGAGCTTTGGACCTGGGAACTTTGAGCTTGCAACAACTTTTTCATTGCATCGTGACATCTGAAAATACACAAACAAAACAAGGACATGAGACGCAACTTCTTCTCCAATAAGAACTCAAAGAGGAAGATAACTTCAAGGTAACTGTATTTGGATACCTCCAAGGAAGATGGTCAAGAAACATTGATGGTGACACAATAATATCTTTGAAGCTTTCTCTGTTTGCAACATAAGCCTTATGACAGTGTGTCTTTTCGTGAACTCTCTGGCTTTTAGATGAAGACATATTGAATCTTCTTGGTTGTGGTACTATATGAATTACAAGGCCTGGCAGATACATCTCCGGGGGATCCCTAGCTGTCAAACTTCCAGATTTTGGGACACTTTCCATAAATTGGGACACAGGGTCATGGTCTGAAATAACGTCACTAGCAAAAGGGTTGGTAAATTGATCTTGATCACTTTCAAGAACTCTTTCCTCCATGTCAGCATCATTCCACAGGATGAAATCTTGATGCTGTTCCTGACAAGCTGCAATAGAAAAGTAATTTTTTTCAAGATCCTTCATCCGCTTCATGACAGGAGTCATGCCCATGATTATATGATAACATAAGTCATGCGGGTCTTTGTCAGAAAATATTTTAACCTCATGATACTAAAAAAGTCGATACCTGCCACATCATCCTCATACTGATTTTCATATATTTGGTGGTTTAGTTTTTCATCTGAAGATGAATCCTTTACATCAGTCCCATCTTGCTGGCACTTGTTTACATGAAGGAAATGGCGCGCAAGCCTTAATATCATAGCCGTATCAGTTTCTGAATCTTGTGACATTGATGTAATTGCAGCTGCACGAAGCCGCATGATTGATCCAACTGATAAGCGTGCTGAGAATTCATTGTTGTATACAATGCTGCAGAGAAGTCAACGACTTATTAAGTAGAGAGGACAATATAAAAATATGAAAACAAGTCACTCTGTTTTATTTTTTTTTTTCTTTAAAAATCAAACTATCAGTGGTGTGAGCGAGAAGCAAATTTACCTTGTAACAAATTCAGAACATGCATTTGCTACAACTGAGTCCACACATGGAAGGGCCCCATATGTATAGACATGCATATCTGGGTATCGGTGATATAGCTACACATATTTTGAGATTAAAATCACAGACAAGATTTTCATCAAAATCAAAATGGATAAAATTGAGAATGAAGCAAGTAAAAGAAAAATGACTCGTATAGATACTCTAATTGCATCAGCTTGTCTATTTGTCACAGTTCATGTGAGCATCCATCAATATTATCGAAGAGTGGTAGATTATCTACAGCACTCTCATGACAGCCCATGGAGCTCATGAACACTACGACTCACCTATATGGATTTTCAAATCCTTCAGCCACTAACTAGAAATAGTATATCAAAGAAATGAATAAACAGTCACATTATACTTGTATACAGGAAAAGGAAAACAATAATATAATTGCATACAGGAAAAGGAAAACAATCAGAGTACATTCCCAGTAAGAAATGACATACTCTGAGCCCAAGCAATGCAGCAATAGCACCTCCTAGGGAATGGCCTACTATGCGTATGCTGTACCCCTCACACTCACATCCAACTCCAAGCAAAGAAGAAAGAAGGCCACTTGAACCAGATCCTGCAATTCCATCAATATTGACATTGTAAGCAAGTGTATAATTTGCCCTAATTCCAAAATTCATCTGCATAAACTCCTGACTATGAAAATCATTTACTTCAAACACTTGAAATATGGAGTATCGGATACTGATGTGCCCCCAGAACACCTGAATGCATATCCAACACTCCTGATCACTTTTCGTTTTGACTTTCAGAACCGAAAGGACATGCCAACATGGGAACCGTTTGTAATTTTGAAAACATAAAGGTCAAAATAAAAATAAAACAAAAAGGACATAACAGAAAGGAAGAGTCAGAAAGTAAACACTCTCTTCTTTACTTGCTATGAAAAACAGCAGCAGAGGAGCTATGCTCTTCCTGGTTGTAATCTAAAAAAGAGAATGGCAGCGAAAAAGGAAATATTTTTGCTCACCACCCTAAGGTGATGGTGATGCTCACCACCTTATTGATTACTGTTGGATGAGTTTGATTTAATCTATCTACTACACAAATCTCGATTCTCTAGAATTAAAGTAACGCAACGGTAATTAATAGGGTGGTGAGCAAAAATGCACTCGTGAAAAAATAAAAAGGAATAGATACAAATAACATAAAAGATCAATTGTGGATGTTCATCATCCAACCTTCGGTCTAAGTTTTATAGGTCACCTTTTAGGGATCATCTCCACAAAAGATCAGCCAGACTAAGAATCATTTAGCCATTTGATTACCAGCATCATCATTAATATTTTATCCAACAAACCACATTTCGCTTCATAATATAGATGATGAAACAGTTTTCAATGATTTTTGTTTTGCTTTTGCGAGGGCAATGCTTCAGGGACCTAAAAGACGGATCGTTCCAATCATTAAGCTTCAGGCAACCGAACAGTGAAAGTCTGCACTTTTCACAGTTTGGAAACGCCCACTCTTCAACCTCTCTAAAATACATAACTTACAATTTTTTTCAATCCACTTTCTTGGAGAGTTCTTGTATCGTTGTATGCTACGGTGTTTGCATTAAGTATCCTCTATCCTGTATCAGTATCTATGAACACTGCTCTTAACAATATGTAGGAGTAAAATTAACAAACAAAAAGGTTTCAAAGATTTTTATAGTGTAATGTCCACTTGTCCGAATTTTGTTGGCGGATACTTAGTTTGCAGACTGAATCTGGACCACGCATTCAAGCAAAGAATCACCTAACCAATGACCTACATTCATAATCTAGCAAGGGAACATTTCCCAGGTTTTCTAATATATCTTTAAATTCTAGTGTTCCTGCAGCACACAAAAGCTCCAATATCTACATAACGAGTGACATAAAAGAGATAAATAAACAAAAAATAATAAATAAAAAAGTTTCAGCAGTGTCACAAGTGGGCCTACATATCAAAAAACTGAATTGCCAAATTGTGTCGCTCATTGATAATAGAAATTGATGTGGAGACCAACTTATCTAAAGCTTATTGTGCTTAAGTCTATTGGGAAACATCTTATCCCTCAGCTCATTTGATTTAGACATAAAGGACGGTGCTGTCAAAACAAAAGCATAAAGAACTCAAAGACAATATTCTAAAAACTAATAAATAGATATCAATAAAAGATAATAGAAGTTAGATGTGCGTATACTAAAACAGAATTCAAAATAGCCCAATAAGTTCGAAAGGGAGAAAAAACAAGAAGGTCATCTAATTACCATCATCTCTAGGGCTGACTTCAATTTGCATGAAAAGATCTCTAGCAGCCTCAACAATACCAGAGTGCCCATGGTGCGGGAAAGATGAAATCACAGCTTGCCTCACTTGAGGATGAATATTAGTGCTACTGCAAACAACACAATAGATATTAAAAATCTGAGTGCCAAATGCAAATACAATGTTGATGGTGAGGGAAAGAAGCAGTAAACACAAGTTAGTGGTATAAACAGACAAAACAGAGTTCCAAGTACTAAGGAGATGTTATTACTTTATCTTCATTGACATGTTTTCTTTTCTCTTTTTTTTTTTTTTTTTTTTTTTGAAGAGGTGGGGGCGTGGCCCGGTGGAAGGGAAAGCAGGGTTTGCGTTATAGACTTTTCAACACTGTAGTTTATAGTGGAACTTCCATGATAAAGTTTTCAGACTCTAAGAAGCACCAAATTATCAGACCATAGCACACATAAAAATAACCGAGAGAGAGAGATACTTTATCAATCCACCCAAGTCTTCTACAGACAGAGCACATTCCCTACATAAACTGTCGGTTATTAGATCTTCTGGGGTCTCAGTTCCCCGAACAGCAATCACCACAGATCTTAGATGATGCAGCACAAGAACAAAGTATGCAGCTTTACACTTTGCCTGAGACAGAAAGTATATACTATATATGAGAGATTTTTAGATTATTAGCATATGCTCTATACCCCATATTCCTTTATTTAAAGTTTGTGGCGATGGAACATTCTTTTGTTGCATACAAAGAGAAGATGATATGTGCTATTTATGCAAGACCCATGGCTACAAAATGGGGTATAGCTTTGGAATGGTCATTTTTTTCTTGGGAAAATAGATGCAATAAACATATTTTGATATTTAGTTTACAGAAATGCGATAATGTATTGATCATATATCGATGACACGACGATGACATAACGACAACACAAGGATGATACAATGACAACATAATAAACAGTTATCATTGCTGCAAAACAATGCCAAAATATGTTTATTGTAGCTAATTGCTCTTTTTTCTTTTACTGTATAGGATCGGTTGGAGGTACCATAAAACTCACTGCACATGATGCATTTTAAGGTATTAAAGACACCTAGATACAATATAACCTTTTAGGTTTAAAATTACTAAAACTATGTATCTCTTGAAAGTTGAAATCCATTGGTCAAATATGTTCTTTAAGGGAAAGAACTCTTTCTTCCCTTCATCTCGTATAGATCCTAATTTTCATGTGAGTTTATAATTCATAAGCTATTTTATTAAAATCAACCAAAACCTCTTGATCTAATCTCATGATGTAAGTTCATTAATCTAATATGTTCAAGCAATGCCATTAGGTTGATCTCACCTGGTTAACACGCCCTTTCCTAAGTACCTCTGGTGACAACTTAACATATTTTAGAAAAGCTGCTGCATGACCTCGCAACCAATTATCACCATCAAGTACGGGTCGCCTACAAAAGAGAAAAACATAATTACTAAGTAAGATTAAATGGCAGCAAAACTATGTTCTATTTTTTTTTTTTTTTTTTTTAAACTTTTCATCAACTCAAAAATTCCAAATGTCTACAATTATATTTGCAGAAAAAATGGTGTATATCTATTATACATGTGCATGAGTAAGATACCCGATTAACTAACGACCTGTTACGAGTCCATGGGGTCAAAATCCCTTGCCTATAAAGCCACGCACATGGAAATAAAAAAGGATTTCTTCCAAAATCAAGTAATGGTCCCTGCAGCATGCAGTGCCTATAAATATAAAAACCTTTGAATAATGAACCCAATCAAAAAAGAGGAAAAAGTAAAGCTACTTAAGAAAGTACTTTGTCATAATACCGTGTATGCAGCTTCTGCGAATTTATGAAGATCAGCAGCCTCCCTGATCTTCTCTTCAGGTATATCCATGCAATCTTCAAAGGATTTGGGTGATTGTGTCTGGTTCCTCAATAGTGCTAGACCTGGAAAAATTATAGCAGCGTCATGCATGCCAAACAAAAAACATGAAAATGAAACGGGAAAGAGTAAGGTAGGGTACAATCAAGTATAGATGAATTAACAAGTGAAACTATCAGAACAAACCTGCCATGAGTTCCAGATGTCCTGTGCCTGCTGCACGATAGGCAACAAGATCACCGAGTAATCGAGCTACTGAGAAAACCTCATCTTCTTCCAATACACTCCTGGATTTATGAGAGACAAGCAAAATTAAAAACAAGTAGATATTTATTTTTAGATATAAAAATAAGCATGTTACTGTCCGTGTTTGTTAAGTATCATGTATTCAACTAAATATGCAGGACGTACAAGTATTTGACGCGTCCCATACAGCACAAAGCCTCACGAAGGCCATGATCAAATACCTCCCTGTAATGAGCTTTCCATGCATCATCTTCAGTTGCATAAAAAGATCTCCATCTTAAAATATCAGTTCCTGTGAAACACTGTAGCAGTGCAGCAAAACACACCGTGAGCAAAAAAAAGCCCAGTATATGTTGCTTCCACGAAATATTGTTTGAAGTTGACCCTGCATTATAAGCATTACAAAACTTGTGAAATTCCACACAAAATCAGGACTATGAAGAATTCTTGAAAAACCGGTGTATGAGGAAAGTTTTATATTGCCCACGAAAAAGAAGAGGAAAACTTCGCATTAGCTTTTTCTGTTCAAAATTTTATTTATAACCTTAAAATGGAAATCCTTGTCATTTAACAAAAAGAAGGAATATGTCTAGAACATGAATGAATTGTGAATACAAGGAGGAAGACACCTTACCAAAATTGCAATGACTTGATGTTCCATTGTCAGACATATGGCTAGCCATATTGTACAGAAGGTAAGATGCACCAATAAATTGCAGTACTGTAATAACTGTGGCAAACCGAGTCCACCAAAGCCATTTTTTGTACCTAACCTGTTCATTCAGAATGTTTTTTTTTTTTTTTTTTCACTGTTAATACAAGCATTGTGATACAAAGAGGTGTAAAACTAAGAAAATAAATCACATGCATATATTATATTATATAGGGCAATTGTAAATCCACTTGCATATCTTCTTGAAGCTTACATAACATTCACAAACTATTTCATTGAAAGACATAGAGCCCATGTATGCAAGGAGTGTAGCAGATTAGGAAAAATGAAAATAGAAAGTAAATCAAGAAACTTATAAAAACTTCCAAAGAAGATGAGATGAAGCTGGATTCTTTCTCTAGCTCAGTACTTGGGATTATAATTCGGAGCCCTAGTGCTAACTCATCTAGTTAACGTTAAGGATGACGTGAAATGGAATTTGACAAGGTAGTGGCACCAAGCATCAGGTGGCACACCTCAACCATATCCATAAGGTTCTGATGGCGCACTCCAATTCACCCATTAGGAAGCAGAAGGTGGTGTTAATTTGTTTGGAGTGATTCCAAATTTCAATTGTTGGTGTGAGGCCAAGAACGGATGTGAGGCCCCTAGAGCAATTCCAGTTTTCTGTGTTTACGCTTCCACTAATCTTTCTAAGTTCTGCTGCCCTACTCTGCCCTACATCAACATGTGAAGCAAAAGTATAATAATCTGGTATAAGTAACCATCATATTCCTAACTCACATCCATCTAGTTTGTAAGAATTGTCGTCAAGAAATCATCTTTATCCAAGAGCCTTATTTCCACTACTTCCTGCCAAAACCTCTTCCTCTTCCTCTTCATAAGCCTATCGAGACACTCTCTATCCTCCACGTTAGATCAAGAACAAGGATTAGGCAATGTATAGAGCTTCCTGTAAAACCATAAAATTCCTTGACTAATTTCACCCTTCCCGAAATTTGAAAAAAACTGCTAATGATATTTTGAAGTATGTATCCTCCTCCTTAGCTAAAGGAAGATTTGGCGCAAAACCGTGGTGTTCTAGGATTCATATAGCCGACTCCACTTAGTGGGATAAGGCTTGGTTGTTGTTGTATCCTTCTCCTTGAACACTATAAGACTACGCAATGTTCGGAAATGTAGCTAGAGAATACGTTTTCATCAGACCTTATCCCCAAGCACGCATTCAATTCGTTTCACTTTCTCGGCAACCAAACAAGAACAAGTAGATAAACAAAACCCAAACGGGGGAAATGAAATGGTACAATTACCAATACATACCCGCGTCTCGTGGCGAAAAGCGGCGTCGACGGCGGCGGGGCTATTCGCGGGAGAATGCTCGAGAATGGTCATGGCGGTGGCTTCCTGGGCGAGGCCAGTGTTGACCATGGTGACAATTCTTACAGCGGCCAAAAAAGGAACGGCCATGAGAGGAATGATGACGTGGTGGTCACAGGAAGGCAAAGCCATGAAGAGAAAGAAGCAACCGAGAAGGAAAACCACGGCGTTGGCGACGCCCAGGACGACGGCGGCCCATCGCAGGTTCTTGAACTTTGAGACCCACATCGCCCTCCGATTGAAGCGAATTTGAGAAATTAAAGCAAAGTTGCAAACTTGCAATCGAATAGCACCATCACTAGAAACGTTGGATTTTGGATTGTAATTTGATTTACGAAAATGTGCCAATGGTTTGGTTTTTAGCCCCGAAAACACACAACCCAACGCAGGTGTTTGGGCGGGCTGAAATTCCCAAGTTGGATACGCAAGTTTAGTCCATGGAGAAATGCTGACTCAAGGTGACACAATGCCTACATTCTCGCCTTATATATTTTCACAATCTTTATAATAATAGAAATTGACGTTAAAATTATGAGGTGACAGATGAAGAATTCCATGAAAGTAAGTCCACACTAAGAAATTAGTCCAGCCCTACCCAATCCATTGGGGTTCCAGGAGAGCACCACCCAGGCTCCAATTACTTGACCCACTGACTAGGTGACTGATGTCAGCCACGTTCAACTTTTTTTTTTTTTTTTTTTTGCGCCAAGTGCGTGAAATACATGCATGATCTAAGGCGCGTCGCCCGATAGAAATTAGGGCTGGGGCCGAACAGGCGCACTCATCCATCTAGTTTTTTGCAACCACGTGTCAACTTTTGAATCGTTGGTTTTCTGATCAACGGTCTAGATTATTTGGCCTAAAAAATCAGAAAAATTTCAAGTGTTAGCATTGGCATATGTGTCAAAATCTGGGCTGTTAGTTTACAATATCTTTTTATAATTCAACGTCCATATTAATTAAGTTAACAAAAATTACTGAAAGATTATTAAATATATATATATATAAATTAGTCAATGTCACTATTAGACAATCTACAAAAATTATACTTTTGGATAATGACACGTGACGTAACGAGATTGGCTAAAATCCTATCCAAAAATAAAATAAAATAATTATTTTATAAAAATAGTAATAACATTTTAATACGGATTGTTTGAGCTATTAAAGGTGGACATACACTTGAACAATTACTGTTCACTAAAAATAATAATTGCCTTGCTCAATAACGTGGACAGTAATAGCCCGATATATTTTAGGAGTGAAGTTGCTCTAAAGAGTCTCTTTAGCATTTATCTTATCCATATACACCGACACTCTATCCAATGCTAAGGTCATCTCTCTAATGCATTTCTCCCAAACAAAGATCACTCATAACCAAAACTAAAACTTAAAATTACACAATAACGGTTTCACACTTAGATATCGTATTTACTTATCTAAATTACAGCACCAATGAAAACCAAACATGGCATAAGGCTTTTGCATGGCCGAATTTGTAGACGTTCAGTTTTTTAGGATATTAAAGACAAAACATAAAAGAGTGACTCCAAGCAAACAAAACTCTCCGTCGTTTTGTGAGGATCAGGGGAAGAATGTCTATCGTACGCAGCCTAATCCTTACTTTCCAATAGTTGGTTGGAATTAAGTTTAAAGTGAGTGGAGAAGACCTGGAAAGAACAAGAAGGAGATGGCATTTCCTGCAGCCAAAGCTACCGTGTTATTGTTATTACTACTGTCTCTGCTGCCATCATACTTGGCAGTTGTTGTTCTTGGCCTCTTCGATTGTCTCGGAGCTTCGGTTGAATCGCGAACCAGAACTTGAACCCGAGAGCGTTGAGATGTTGAGCTCAAGGTTCACAGATATCTGGTTCATAGGCCATTTCCAACTCTTTCTCTAGGTCTTTCTGTTCAGGTAGTACATTTTCCCGGACTGCACCAAACAAGTACGTACCAGACAATAATATCAATTACGACAAATAATTAAGACAAAACAATATCTTAACCTTGGTTAATTAAGAATATGTGTTATTGGTGGAAAATAAATAGATCATAATCAGACATACTCTCTTGCATGTACATTACTGTTTAAAATGACTAAAGGTCACCCCAGCCAAAAAAGCTCATCGTTTTGCAAGTGTCAAGAAGCGTCTACTATATACAACATTACCCTTACTTTGCAAGTAGGTCTTTCCATGACTCGAATTCGTGACCTTTCAATCACAAAGGATCAATATTTCTGTTGCGTCAAGACTCGCCCTCTATCACACTATTCAATTATGAGAAAAAACTTTCTACTAGCTATTAATCTTTGCATTACTGCAGCAAACAATAATATTAAATTTCTTAATCTGAGATTTAATATTTCTCTTCAAATCAAAATACTCAAACTAATAAGATTTCAGTCTAAGATTATTGCTCAATCAAAGAGGTCGGAACCAAAGTTTCCCTAATAAAAAATATATGAAAGAGAGAGAGAGAGAGACCTCAAGATCAAGGCACTGTTCCCATTCCAATGGAAGGGGGTCTTTAAGTTGAAGATCAACGCTTGTTTGAAGTCTTGGAAAAACTTCCTCTTCCTACAAGTACCATTGCTTTCTGCAGATTCCACTGGACTACTGCTACTACTACTACTTTTATTAAAACCCAACTGTGTTGGACATAAATAGAGCTCTGGAATTTCCATTTTCTGGAAACTTCACAGAGCGGGAAGCCTTGCTAGGTTGAGGTCGCCGTCTTAGAAAAACCTGGGATTTGATATCACAAGAAAAGAGGTGGAGTGTGTAGGGCAAAGTATTGCTCTCTCTACCTATCTGGATTGCAGGAGTCATGCAAAAGGTGCTTCTCTACGTAAAGAGTGCTCTTAAATTGCCCTGACCAAACGTACATTCATTAAAAGGAGGAAGACAGGCAATCATTTAAAGGTAGCAAGTAGATATCACTTTTAATGCATCAAAATCCAACTCTCTCTCTCTACCAGCATTTAAGGGTCAATCTACACATACCATCTCTCTATCGAGAGTAGTGAACTCGGAAGTTGGAACACCACCGCGTAGCGTTACTAGAAGTGGGACACATACAAACCATGTCATCCACTTGTATTAGGACATGTAAAATAGTAACGACACGTGATGGTAATCTAACTACACTTAAAAATTGCTTGTCTGTATCCATCTTTGCGCTAACATTTTCGTTTTTTGTTTTTGGTAAAGACATCAAATAATCCATCTCATTTCCTCATCTCTCATTTACAACTATTACCAACAGAATCTGAATTCATATGCATTTAAAAACTTATTTTGTTACACAACATTTTAAGTGTGATGGATGATATGCAACCTAGTACTACTAGTCTCTTTCTTCTCTTTCACTCATCTGATGATGGAATCTCAAACCCACGAGAAGCCAACTGCTTAGACCTCGTTCGGCTTCTGAAGAATCAAGAAACCCTATGAGACACGAGCCGTTATATAAGTAGACGTCAAGCATCACTGCCCTGAAGTTGATCAAGAATCTGCAACACATTAGAAGATGATATTAAGTTCATGGCAATTCCCATCCACAAACTTTTCGGATTGGATTCTCTGCCTGATCATACAAGGCTTTCAATCTTCAACCATACATACATATATATATATATATATATATATATAATATATGGGATATGATCAAGGGCCAGACATTTTGACAAATACTTTTACACGTTTTTTACGCACTTAGATTACATAACATCCAAGGGTTCTTATTTATTCATTAAAAGATATGGATGCTTATGTGGATTTTATCTAATGTTAAAGATAAAAATAAAACTGAAAAAAAAATAATAATAAAATCTAAAAGAAAATTGAAAATAAAATTAGATGAAAGAAACCATATAAGCCTGCAAACAAGAAAGGAGTAGAACTCCATTGATTCGTAACCTCCATCGCCTTACAATGTATTCACTATTAGGAATCGTGAGTACGTGACCAACATAAATTTACGTACCTGTTGGTCCATAACAATTCTGAAATAACTTTTGTCACAAAATATTTTCCACAAGAACAAGTAGACACACAAAGATTTTCATTTTTCATGTGTAGTGAGTGGGAGAGAGAGAAGGAAGTATTTGCGAGTCTCAGCTGTCACCAAGTGAAGCTACAAACAATTCTTTTACAGGGTAACAATTGAACTATGGTGCGATGTCAGAACAACCATTTCAAATAAACGGTTTGAAGCATTAAACATCTTGAACAAAAAAACAAGACGAGTTCAACTCACCAGAATAGAAACCTTATGATCCATCCCAACATGGGAACTTCATAGAGGAACGCCTTCACAGATGGCCAAAAACGACTGCAAGAAAACAAGAAAAGGTCAATACAACAAAATTAAATATCAAATATAGAGGATGCAGTTGATTCAATTTCTGTATAGTGTATATACTTGAAGAGTTCATTAATTAAGTAGGTTGACTCTGGCAAACTTAACGACAGTTTAACGACTTGCAGATTCCATAAAGTTGAGTGAGACACGTCTACACAGTTATATATTGAGTATGACAAAGTTCAACAAACTTCTTGCATGGATTATAGGGACTCTTGAGGAAGATTTAGGGTTTATACAATTAATAAAACATAAAATAAACTCATAAGGGTCAATTCCATATAAGAAAAACTAGTACTCACGGGATAATTAGTATCCATGAATACATAACATTCAAAAAACACATAATACAAACATGCATATATAACAATTGTTATTAAAATAAAAATAATATACCAATTGAGAAAACTAACAAGAACATAGCTTTCAAAAGAAATATACCATCCATCAACTAAAATGTCTTCAAATTCTATATTCCAATTGGCTGTACCCGTTTTCCCAAACGGCATAACACACAATGATGATTTGATTTCCATTGCAAAATCTTCCTTACATACTCCACAATGAACAAGATATAGGGGGATAACAATCACTTGATAACCCAGTTCCATTAGACATATACATTATAAATTTGTTGACTGTGCCATCAGGTTGAAAGCTTCTAAACATAAGACCTACAAACTGAACATGTGTGCAGGACCATCAACTATCAGTGCAAACCAAGAAGCCTAGGAAACACTATAACATAATCTTAACACCTTTGTCAACAACTTACTATTCGGTTTGTATAAATAAGTTATTGTGATTCCAAAGTTGTTCAATAAAGATCTCCTAGCTACTTGTATGAATAAAACAAAGACAACTTATCTCCAAACAACAACTCCGCCATGGCATGTTCATATTTAAGCAAGTTAGTTTGAGCCAGAAACAAGATTCTCACTCAATATGAATGAAATACAATCAGTTCTTCTGTCAAACAGTATTTATATATTATATGTACACTGTAATAGCTAAACAATAAGTTGTAATAATATTTTTTCAATTCTTCATTCCAAAAAATCCTTGCAGACTGCAGGTGATTATTCTACAGCCCATGAAAAACTTGAACAGAATCCCAAGAACAATAACCATGAAATCAAGATGCTGGCTTGTATATCAAGCATTTTAAGTTTGTATTTTGTACTTCCACCGGTAAACTCAAACTATATCTCTTAATACAAATCCTAACAGGCCTGTGATGATTTCACTAACTCTAGGTAACTAGAGAGTTTTGTTAATTCCATCAAAACCCACGACAGTCTAGATATACTACAGACTGAGATATTATTCAGAGCAGAGCACAATGTTAAGAGCAGAAACTAACCTGAACAAATTAAGGCAGCCATATATTTCCAAGATTATACCAACTATTGGCCACCGAACGAAAAGGAAAAAGAGACCAAGAAAAAAAGATACAGAGCCCTGTAGGAAAAAATCAACATTAGATCTAACTCATAATAGATAAGTTATATTTGTTCAACACATATCCAGTTCTTCCTCATTAAAAAATGCATAATCAGTTAGTATTCAAAGCTCATCAATGCTTAATTTTGTAAATAAATTAAGGACAACAAATCAGATTGTCACTAGACTCACTACTCTATTCCCCCAAACAACTAATGGCTATGTTAAGGACAATCACATATGGAACAGAGATTTGACCAACAACGAGTAAAGATTGTATCTCAAGAATAAAAAAATTAAAAAAAAAACACTACAGTTTAAAATGCATGCTCGAGTAAGTCAAAGGTATAAAGTTCTAAATCCTCATTTAAAAACTGAACTTAGAAACCTCATATTATGCATTTAGGTCGTTGGTTGTCGCTTGTATATTTCAGAATATATTTTTTAGGTTGTTTGATTTAAAGCATCAGAAAACATGTTATCGAATCAAAATATCAGAAAAGTGTGTTTCTGTAGAATGTTAACTGGTCATGATACCTAGTCGACCATTCGAGGTACTCAATGATGTTTTACACTACTTGAAAGTTCTGATTTCTGACAGAACTAGAATGGCAAACTGATCCAGTATTGGGGGAGCTGCCAATTAGCCCTACTATTGTTTGGTTTCAATTACCCAGAGAGTTATCCTGTTAGTTACAAGTTTCAGCTGATGAAAATTGCATCAGGATTTTATACTTAATATTTTAGACAATTTCTACTTGGTTACGAACTTCCAACACGTTAGTTGATGTTCTGAATGTTTTAGGGATGTCTATGCCTTGTATACTAGGGTTTCATTAAGTAAATGCTATTACAAGTTGCCTTTAATTAGATACCTTTCCATGAGTGCACATTCATGCTCTAAAATACCCCCTTTGGTTGCTGGTGTCTCAGAGTAGGGTTTGGTGGGGTTTAGGCTTAGGGTTTAGGACACTAGGGATAGGAAGCCCTAATCCCATAATGGATTCCAAAAACAAAATAAAAAGGAAACTAATTTGTAAAAATCATGGAATTCTTAATCAGTTATATTTCGGGTTTATTTTACTAGCGTTTAGGGTATATGGGTTTAGAGTTTAAGTTATTCACACTAACAAATAATTTTGTTGGTCTAATCTTCACTGAATTGTAGAATACCAGTTAAATGCAAAAAACAAATGCTGATAAAGTTCTGTTTATAAGTACCTACTGCAAAATAGGCCAAAAATTTACTCAGTACTAAAACTTCACTCATTAAAGAACAACAATGATCCGTCACTGATACCGCTACTCTAACATAACCACGCTACCAAAACCAAATCATTTATGAAAAGAAACGAAAACAAAAAATGAGCATCCTAATAAATGATTCAGTGAAAGCTGCTAATTTCTCATACCTTTAAGTTTGCTTTGCTAGTGAAGAGATTCCATGTAGAACGCCAACCAAGTAAAAGGGCCACCCCAGTCAACCAAAATATCTGAAAAGGCAGATACAATCATACAACAAAATACAAGAAAATAAAACACTAGTCCAATTCCACACACATATATGTAGATACACATATACATATACATATGCCTGAAAGAAGGATTGGAAATTATGGAAACCCCTTACATTCCCTAGAGCAAGCAGGCCTCTGTCGAAGAAAAGCATCACACCCAGAAATGTGAAAAGGATGCCAAAGCCAAGAAGACCCAACCCAACCTCTGCAAAGTTCAACCAAAACTCTTAAGGTTATGAGCCACCCAGATCATTTTCTTTGATCCAAAATTTGAAAATCCAAAACAAAAACAATTCTTACTTTTCTGTTCACTCAATTCATAAGCCATCTCCGGGCAACTTCTAATTGATGGGTTCAATCGAAAACCACAAACTGCAATTTGTATGTTAAGAATACAAGAACCCAATGAAACTACGACATCAACAGAAACCCAAATGAAGGAACTTTGAAAGAGAGAGAGAGAGAGAGAGAGAGAGAGAGAGAGAAGACCTATGTTGGGTATGAACAACGGTGATTTGGAGAGGAGGATAGCTCCAAGATTTATCCTTTTCTTCTGTTTCCTGACCGGAGGAAAGCTTATGAAGGTTATGGCTTCACAGACGGAGTGGAGGAATAGTTGGGATAATAATCAGTAGGTTATATTTGCCGGAGTCTACAGGTTTTGTGCAGATTCGGAGGTAGACCTAGCATTTTTCGGACCGTTAACCCGATTCATTAAAATTAGTATTCAGACGGGTGATAAACGGGTCAATTCATTAATCACCCGTTAAATAACGGGTCATTTTGGATGACCCCGTAAAACCTGTTAACCACCCATTAAGGCCCGTTATTGAGGACTTTTGTGTAATTTCAACAGTCCTAATAGAAAACCCTCAGGGCTCAGGTTCCTCACGTCTCTCTCGCACTGTCGCACGACTTTGCTCTCTGAGACTTCATTGGCCATCACTGTGCTCCTTCCCTTCCGACTCCACCACTCTATCTCTCTGGTAAGCTCCGATTCCCTTCCACAGTTCCACCTCTTCTTTCATGCGTAACAATATACATACTGAAATTTGTACATAGGTTGTGCTCCTTCCCTTCCACCTTTGGTTTTTCTTTTTTCTTTTTTTTTTTTTTTTTTAGTTTTTTGGTTGTGTTTTGGATAATGGGTTTTGCTTTTTGTTCATGGGTTTTGTGTAAAATTTGTTCATTTGTATATTCTCTGATTAAAATTTCCATTTTTGGGTAATTTGGAGCTGTTAATTTACCTATTTCTTCACATCGATTAAAAGTAATGGATGACGAAAGAAGAAATGTTTTGCGATTCGTTAAGGCTCATGAAGTTAAAAGTATTGAGTTTGCGATTCATTAATGCCGAGGTGTGTAATTTAGATGACAAAAGAGGAAATGTTTTGCGATTTGTTAATGCCGAGGTGTGTAATTTGTTAAGGCTCATGTTTTGCGATTCCGAGGCTCATGAAGTTAAAAGTATTGAGTTTGCTTTGTTTTGGTTGGTTTTTGGATTGGAATTGGGTTGTTGTTATTTGGTTTTACTGAAATTGATACGAACAACATAAGTTACTGCTAAGTGCTCAGTAAGTTTCTATATCCTCCCTGTGTAGGCATCCTGCTCTATTGCTCATACTTATATATTTCCTTCTATTTTTCTCCTGGCCTTCGAAATGTTTCCCTTTTAGGTGCTTCTTATATTTATAGGTGCTTACTGCTTAGTAATTAATTTGATTGAGACTTGAGACTCTGTAGTGAATTACCCAGACTTGAGACTCTGGAGTTTGGGTTGGATGTTTATTGTTTTCCTCTATTACATTGAACTTTTTTTATCACTTGGAAGATTTTGTTGTTTTTCCTCAGCAATACAATATACGCTTACACACTTATGCAGCACATGCACTCGCACACATTGTTGTTTTTCCTTATTTGATTATTGGGATGCCAAGCTTTAAGAATTTGTGTTTAATTTGATTCTTTGGTATACTCAGTTAATTAAGGTTGTTCTTAACTTTTTGTTTCCTGATTGAATTTGTTTTGATTCAATTGGGTTTGTGAGCTAAATTGCAAAAGGGTAGGGGGTGGTTTGATTTCCGAATGGCTCTTATGGGTTGTGTATGAGGCTAGAGGATTTGAACTAAACCATGCAACGGACATTCATAATAATGTGTAAGTAGGTATTGCGTATATAAATTGCATATACACTTAATGGTTTGCATTGCTTGCTGTTTTTGCATAATGGTTTCATTATGTGCTTAGGTTGGTTTAAAACCCAGGTTCTATGAGTTTAACGGTTTAATTGGGGGAATGAAAAATTAAAGTTGGCCTTTCATTGAAGATGGTTAAACAATTGGAGTTTGTTTTATTAGAAAGATGGTTACACATTTTTGGTTGCTCTTGTGCTATTCTTTTCATTGTGGCTCTGTTTTAGGTATATAGTTTGGGGTTCTCCTTTTCCCTTATTTTTTTCACATTTTCTGTTCTTGGATGAACCTTTTTATTAAATTTGGTTTTTCTATTTGTCGTCAACTGGCAGTGAAACCCCATCACTGTAACTGGATAGAATAATTTAAAACCCATAGTGGGTTAGAGCATTGCCACACACCAAACAAAGATGTCTCGATATGACTCGTTAGTTAGTTTTGATTACAAAATTTTGATTTCTTTGCTTTGTTTGGAAATTCATTAGTTAGTGTTTTCTTTTCTACTCTCAAATTGCATCTCAGCTTGTTAGTAGTCATATGCTGATTTGAGAGAAGTAATTTTCATCATTGTGTTGTTGGTATTCACACAGTTTATTCATTTATGGTTAGTGCAGATGGATATTGATGAAGAGAACAATGAGGCTACAATCAATCTAAGTGATACACAAGGTACAACAAGTGCACCAAGTCTTTCAAAGAGAAAGGCTAAAGGTATACGAGTAGGTAAGATACGTCAAAAGAGATCCTGTATTTGGACTTTGTTTGAAAAATCTAAGTTATTCCTCTTTTTATACTTTTTATATGCATGTACGTTGATGCCTTTATTTATATTTTATTTTTATATGTAGGAATTTGATAATATTTACCAAGATGGGTCAAGTTCAGTTGAAAAAATTGAATTACATCTATATCTTGAAGAAAAGAGACTCGATAGAAAACAAGAGTTGGATATTCTTTCATGGTGGAAACTGGAGCAATTTCGTTATCTCGTATGGCTTCTGATGTCTTAACAATTCCTATCTCAACTGTTGCCTCGGAATCAGCATTTAGTATTAGTGGTAGGGTGCTTGATCAATATCGAAGTTTTTTGTTGCCTAAAACCGTTCAAGCCTTGCTATGTACTAGAGATTGGTTTTTTGGCAAAGAAGGTAAATTTTATATTACTTTGTACTTTTTTCCTCATATAATAGGTTATAATTGTTTTCATTTTTTTCCTTTTATGTTTAGCTTTAGAGAAAGAGGGTGCTGACTTAGAAGAACTCACTGAAGAAATTTTTGACATGAGCCTTAACGAAAACTCGGGACAATGCTCCAATAGTATTAGTCTTGATTAAGCATGGTATGTATTTTAACTTGTTCTTTTAAAGATATTTTTCTGTGATGTTTAATGATTAGGATGGATTGTGCAAGATTAATGCTTACTTTTATTGTGACAAGCTTCTTACTAATGGAAATTTCACTTGTCAAGGAAATTTCACTTAAGGTGAATGTTAAGGGCAAAAAAGAAGCAGAGGATGCAATGCAAGAAGAAGGTTGGCAAAAAAGTAGCAGAGAATGCAATCATGCAATGCAAGAAAAATAGAGCCACTGTAGACTCTGTAGTGAGACATTGATTGAGAGTTGGGAAAGAGAATTACTGTGGTTTACTTAAACAATTTCCTGATCTATGTTAAGATTCTGAGACACATGTAATTGATCTATGTTTTAATTTAATCAGTTTTATCCATTTTAATTGGCCTACTAATCAACTTGATGTTCAAAATGTGTTTCTACATGGTTCTTTGAGTGATGAAGTTTATATGCGGCAACCCCTTGGTTTATTGATCAGCAATGCTTGTTGCAACCATGGGTCGTGGTTGTAGTTGTTTCATTTAGTTCTTGAGACAAAGTAGACATGACAGGCATAAACATGTTTTGCGACATTCCCAATCTTGTATTCTTGTGCATCGTAATAAAGCTTCAGGTGTTCATCAAATCATTCCATGACTTGCATATGCACAGAAACCAGATGAAGGAAGGAGGTGGCTAGCACAAGCACTAGGATGCTAAGAACGGGTGTAATTGATTTGGATGAAATGTATGTGGAAAAAAAGAAAAGAAGAAAAAAGAGAGGTTAACGGGTGAAACGGGTTGTTAATATAAAGTTAGTATAGTCAGGTGCAAATTGATGATGGGATCAATTTATTTACTATTTGATTGTACATAGGTTGTTAATATAAAGTTAGTATAATCAGGTGAATAATTTTTATTGTACATAGGTTGTTAATATAAATTTAGTATAATCATGTGCAAATTGATGATGGGATCGATTTATTTACTATTTGATTTGTACTTAGACAACTGTCATTTTAGTTGTACATAGTCCCTTAATGTAAATTCAATAAAACATACAAACAAAGTGAAGACTTATTTCTACCATTTGAGTTCAACTGCTTTGATCGGTTTCTAAATTATTTGAAGATGGATGTTTTAAATTATGAGTACAGTTTCAAAACCTGTAGCAAAGTGGGATTATCTTTGCTTGTATTTACTTAAATAAGCACAATAATTTTTTGATACTTTTTTTCCTCCCACTAGAAGTGGGCTCAGTTTCAATCGATTCGGTTTTTTAACAAAACTAAAAGCAAACTGAAATTACAGTTCGGTTTTTTAAATTCGGTTTTACTTCGGTTCGATTTTTTCGATCCAGTTTGACTTCGGTTCTGTTGTTGGAGACGCCAAAGGTGGACATGCGGACGAGGAGGCCCAATTACTGGGGGATGGGGCCGATGAGGGAGTTGTCGTGGAGGTCAATGATGTTGAGGTAGGCGCACAATATGAGGTGCGACGAAATTGGGCGGATAGGAGAGGTTGAGGACGGTGAGGTTGACAAGGTAGTGGAGGTCAGAGGTGATGGGGCCGGTAAGGAAGTTTGAGGAGAGGAAGGGGGAGATGGAGCCGCGAAAGGAGAGGTTAGTGAGGGAGATGGCGAGGAGGTTCTGAAATCGAGGCAATTGGGCTTGATGCACTATGGAAAAAAAAAAAAAAAAAAAAAAAAAAAGGACAGAAGAAAGGTGCGCCAGGGAGATATTGTAGGTTTTACGTCGGGCTAAATTGGATTAATGGTTTCCGTGATGAGAGAGTATCGTGATAAAAAAATTAGGATTTAAATCCTCGTGGTGAACTCCATTAAGATTTAAGTTAAAATTAACATATTCCTTAACCTATTCAACCTTCATAACCAAAAGAGAGAAAAACTCATTCATCCAAGGCTATGAAAAGTTATTCCCATAATAAATCATTTTTTTTAGTATACCAATATTTTTACAATAAGGAATGGAGAGTTCAGTTAAGCCACACAATGAACAACTTAATTTGGTATCGAATTTGTCATCCACAATATTCGAACTTAAGACCTATCATTCATTTTCAAGTGAAAAAGAATACTACTAAATCGTAATACTGAGTGTCTGATAAATATTTCGTTTACTTACCCAAAAGGAATGAAAAGTGTTGCGGATACCATCCGAAATCAGGAATCACATTTCTGATATTCAAGGAATTGGATTACGATGGGAGAGGTCAGGTCGGGCAAGGTGGAATGGGAATGAAAATTTTCGTACTCAAACTACCCTCACATATTTTTTTAAATCACGAGAATACCCTTTCTGCTTGGAGAAAAGGACAAGACGGTTGCTCCCTCTTTTTCTTCTTTACTTTTTTTTTTCTTCAACCAGCTTGGTTGAATTCAATTGTGTCGTGCAAAACACGAAGAGGAGATAAACAGAAGAAAAAATTTGAAAAACATTATTTTGGCTATTTATCAAATGAAAATTGTGTAAATAGTTAAAATTTATTGACAAAAAAAAATAAAAGATTATAGAATTGTTTGGCACAAGGGCATTTAGGTAATCATCTAAATTTTCATTCACATATTTTTGTACCACAATTGTATATCACTTTAGATGACATCTGATGCGGACAACCACATCATCTAAATTAATTAACATTTAATTTCAAAATGTTAATCAATAATGAATAAAAAGATTGTTAATTAAATGATAATTGTAGTATACGAGAAGTCTTCTTCTTCCACCTAAGATTGTTTAAGTGTTTTAATTAACAAAAAGATTGAAAATAAATGATGTAGCTTGTCCAACTCATCTGCCACCTAAGATAGTAAAAAAAATATGATATAAAATTATGGTAAGAATAACATTACTCAATTGGTTTTGATTCCTATTATGGACAATTGTAAAAAGTTATAAAGGAATCAGTTTTATTTCATTTTGATTCCTAACAGTTAGTAAATAGTTTAATAAAAAGGGTGTGATATCCCCACATCCCATTTTATTTCTCACACACCTTTGATAATTTTTGTCTGTTGATTTTCTTCAATTCATCTGATCAGATGGCCAAAAATTAAAAAGAAATGTAAGAAGTAAAATGGGATATGTGGATATCACACCTCTAATAAAAATGTTTGATTTCGACTCTTGCTTACCTCGATTCAAAAATATTCCCAACCGAATGCTGCCTCAGTTTTCTTTTGGTAAAAAGCATTTGGTGGCCTAATCATCAGTGGCTCACGTAGTAGTGCATCCATGCATGATAAAAGTATAATCCATTTTTAAGTTGTGATTTTTTCAATGATGTGTTTTATGGTGTTTGAGTTTGGAGACTTTGGACGCGGGTGCTTCAAGACATCTTGAAAAAGCGCAAGGAGAATATTTCAATCAAGGTCAGCGTCTTCAAGTCTTTAGTTAAACCAAGGACTGTCCACCCGCTAATTGCTGATCAACTCTTTTCTGTGTTTGATGACTGTAAATTGCCATATATGCTTGAGATATGGTGTTGAAGAAGAGGCTAGATTTTGGATTTAATGGCTTCCAATTCAATCAGTTATTTCATTACGTAATTATCTCAACTTTATTCTAAAGTATTTCTCTTTATTTCTATCACAATGGTTTAAGGGCTTTAGTCGATACTCATTTAGTTGTTCGTTAGTATGTTTTCTAAATAATTAAAAAAAAATCGTGATTTGTTCACTGTTGATCTTTCCATGAACTCTTTACGTCTCAATATTGTTTCTACTTCTCAGTGTTTCAATATATTTGTATTTAATTGATCAAATTTGCGTCTTCACAATTTTAAAAGGAAGTTTCAAAGTGTTTTTGAATGCAAGACGAGAGAAGAATGGGATGAGCCCCGAGAACAGTGAAGTAAGAGATTAAGTCCTGAGAAGTAAAGCATGTGAATCATTTTTGTTGTACATAGGTTGTTAATATAAAGTTAGTATAATCAGGTGCAAATTGATGATGGGAACAATTTATTTACTCTGTGATTTGTACTTAGAAAGCTATCATTTTAGTTGTATATAATCTCTTAATGTAAATTCAATAGAACATACATATAAAGTGAAGATTTATTTCTACCATTTGGGTTCAACTGCTTCGATTGGTTTTTAAATTATTTGGAGATGAGTGTTTTAAATTGTGGTACGGTTTCAAAACCCGCAACAAAGCGCTGACATCTTTGCTTGTATTTACTTAAATAAGCACGGTAATATTTTGATTATTTTAGTACTTTTTTTTTCCTCCCAGTAGAAGTGGGTTCGGTTTTAATCGATTTGGTTTTTTGCCAAAACTAAAAGCAAACTGAAATTACAGTTCGGTTCTGTTTGGTTTTTTCAATTCGGTTTTACTTCGGTTCGATGTTTTCGATCCAGGTTCTGTTGTTGGAGACGCCAAAGGAGGACATGCGGACGAGGAGCCCAATTGCTGGGGGATGGGGCCGATGAGGGAGTTGTCGTGAAGGTCGATGATGTTGAGGTAGGCGCACAATATGAGGTGCGACGAAATTGGGTGGATTATTAGTTGGAGGAGAGGTTGACAAGGTAGTGGAGGTCAGAGGTGATGGGGCCGGTAAGGAAGTTTGAGGAGAGGTCAACGAAGGGGGAGATGGAGCCGCGGAAGGAGAGGTTGGTGAGGGAGATGGCGACGAGGCTCTGAAATCGAGGCAATTGGGCTTGATGCACAATCGAATAAAAAAAGAGGGACAGAAGGAAAATGCGCCAAGGAGATATTGGGCTTGAAATTTAGCTTTTAACGTGTTTGAGCTTGGAATTAGATTAAATTTTTTGTAGATTTTACGTTGAGTCACTTTAATTTCTTATATTCTTATTTTGAGATTTGTTGTTTCTTCGTTTTCGCTACAATGCTGATATTTGATACTTTGTTAGAATTCACTTATGTTTGTGTATAAAAGTACAACAGACTCTTAATACCAATGTTAAAGTTTTGATATCAACTTTGATGAAGTTTTTTAATATTACTTGATCTGGAACTTTTGAGGAGGAAGAAGAAGAAAGGAGGGGCAGCATAGAGACAATTTTTCTATAATTTTGCTGGATGTCCTCTGCTAGCTAATCATTGCATCATCAGGGAATATTTCATTCACTTGATCCCATACACATAAGGAGAATGAGAATGTGGACAATGAAAGTTATTCCCATGTCTGATAAATCCTTCCCTTTTTTTTTTTAATACATCGATATTTTTTAGTACATTGATATTTTTACACTAAAGAAGGGGAAGTTCGGTTAAGCCACACAATGAACAACTTAATTTGGTATCAAACTTCTCATTCACAATATTCGAATCTAAGACCTCTCACTTTTAAGTGATGAAGAATACCACCAAACCGTAATACTGAGTAGCTGATAAATCTTTTGTTTACTTACCCAAA